GGAAACTTCGCACATTACAACGACTGTTACATAAAATGGGATATAGATGGAAAAAATCTACAAATGTGAGGAAGATTTTAGTAGAGAAATCAAACATTGTTGCATGGCGCGACAAATATTTAAGAGCGATTGATTCCTACAGGAGACAAGGAAGAAATATAATATATTTAGATGAAACTTGGGTGGATAACACATTATCATTTAGCAAATGTTGGCAAAGCAATGAAGAAATTGGCATATTAAGAAACAACAGTTCTTCCCACCGTTACATAATTGTTTATGTGGGTGGCAAAGGAGGATTTGTGAAAGGTGCTGCCTTGATTTTTAAAGCTCGCAGTACAACGGGGAACTACCACGGGCAGATGAATGCCCTCAATTTTGAGAAGTGGGTAAGCCAAAAATTGCTACCTAGCATCCCCTCTCAATTAGTCATTATAATGGATAATGCTCCGTACCACACGGTATAAATAAATAAATCACCAACCGCATACGGAAAAAATCAGACATGATAAAGTGGTTAGAAGAGAATAATATCCAACACACAGCCACCATGAAAAAATATCAACTGGTGGAATTATTCCAAAGGAATAAAAGTCTGGACAAAACTTATAAGGTGGACAAGTTATTTAAAGGGGAACAACAGGGTGAAACTTTCAAAAAATCGATTGTGTTTTTTTTTATAGAATTGGCAAGTATTCATCTTTTAGAATATTTTCCAAAAGTATTATGATGGAATTCGTACAAATAACGAAGCTACATCGCTTTTTCTGTGCGCGAGCACTCGACCGAAAACAATTGCTCGAAGCTGTTGACGGTAAGGCCTATTTTCGGCAGGTGGCGGTGTTCCGATATTCTTATTTACATTGTTTGTTGAGTGACAATGGATCGCAAAGGAAGTAGATCTACCTCTAAACGACAAAGACGTGACAATAGAAAAAGTCATCGCCCTTTAAACCGTTTTGAAATAGAGCAGGACGAGACGGTTGGAAGCGTAGCGACGAAGAAGTTAAAGACTTTCGACATTACCGATGTTTCCATAAATCCAAATATAGGATATAAACTAATAAACTTGATAACGGTATTTTTGACAATTTCAAGTTTTGTGAAGTGTAAAGTTTGTAATAGCGACATAACTTTCGAGGAATCAGGCTGTCGCGGACTCGGTTTCAAATTAGTGCTAAAATGCAAATCGTGTGACCCGAAATATATAGATTCATGCCCTTTAATTAATAACGCTTACGAAGTAAATCGTAGATTTGTATTTGCCATGAGATTAATTGGAGTTGTCCTGAACGGTGCTGAAACATTTTGTGCGTTCATGGATATGCCACGACCAATTTTTCAATCGTTTTATGATGCAGTTGTTCATAGCGTATATACTGTTTCGAAAGCGGTAGCCGAAAGTTTCATGAAAAAAAGTGCCAATGAAGAAAAGAACTTGACGAGTGAAGCAGGAGCACAGGCTACGGGACTGATGGTTTCAGGAGATGGCACTTGGATGAAACGGGGATTCAGTTCTTTGTTCGCTGTCGCCAGTTTGATAGGTTTTCGTATAAAGAAAGTTATCGATGTTGTTATAAAGTCTGCGTACTGTCATGCCTGCAAATTGCATGAAAACGATCCGGATGACATCGAACATGAGATGCGGCGACAGGAACATGCAAAACATTGTGTCTCGAACCACGAAGGAGCATCCGAGAAAATGGAAATTGATGCGATTCGTGAGATGTTTCTCTGTTTGTGAAAGAAAGCATCGCCAACAAATTATTAATAATTAAATTAAACATTTATTGTAATGAAAGGAAATACATTCTAACAATCGCAGAAAATAAAAGCCGTTCTAGAACAATCTCGCGCTAAACCGGACAAAAAGAAAAGAATCGCAAAAAACTGTCGAACGCGGAGACGAAAAAAGGGCCTGACCCCGGCCTCCGCGCCCCACTCTCCGGCCCGGCACGGAAGAGCGTCAGGCACTCACACATAGACAAGTCGCGAAACATATTACCAAATAAGGCAATAAAAAGGTCACGGAGCCCCCTAATTGGCGCTCGGGAGCTCCGTGAAACAAATCCGTGTGCCTGCCGGAATCTATAAAGGAGCCGGAACAACAAAGGCGATTAGAACAATTAAAGTAACAATCCTTGGCGAGCGAGCACAGTATCTTTCAACGTTTAAACGAGTTGCGCGAACAGTGACTTGTAATCACCAACCTCCGCGGTAAGCGGCTCTTGTAAAAAATAAACTATCTCCTAGTCAAAGTGAAGCGCATTTATTTTAAAACCCGATTCACTAGCGGCATAATAGTGCGGCGAAAGCCAGCTATAAATTCGCAAACAGTAAAAGTGGTCCTTCGAGCCGGATATAGTGATCGGGAGTGCAGTTTGTGCTTAAAACACGGTGCCTGGGCTTCAAAAGCAGCGACACCCTTTACCGGATTATACCGGGACGCACAAATTTGCCAGCAAAGGTGCCTGGGCTTCAGTGAAGCAGCGACACCCTCCAACACGCTACACGGAGTCGATCAACCGACATGGCCTCCAAGGATCTGTCCCTGAAGGAGCTGTACGCAGCTCAATCCGCCTCCAGGGGTCTCATCAGCCGAGCAGTGGACAACTTCACTAAGCTGGGAAAGGCGCAGCGAACCACAACCGTCACCAGCAGCAGGCTCAGCAACCTACGGGGATACTGGGAGAAGTTCGTCCAGCAGCACATGCAGATCCTCGCGCTGGCAGACAAGGAAGCAACTGCAAAGGATGAGTACTTTGTCAAAGATTTATTTGTCGAAACATCTTGTATATTTGAAGAAGCGTGCGATTATTTTAACGAATACCTCGCGAAATTAAAGCCTCCGCCGGTCGCGCAGTCGTCGTTTGACGAAAGTCACGTTGCTAATTCGCAAAACGTCGTGAACTCAATTAAATTACCGCAAATTACAATGCCGACCTTCTCAGGAGACTTTCATGAGTGGGAGAATTATCGTGACTTATTTCTGGCATTGGTAGATCAGAACGCTGCACTAACAGGGGTACAGAGACTTCATTATCTAAAATCCAGTCTTTCGGGCGAAGCCGCCTTAACTCTAAAGAATATCGCGGTAACAGAGTCAAATTACACCACAGCATGGGAACTCCTGAGAAAAAGGTACGATAACACGCGTCTAATAGTCCACTCACATCTGCGAACGCTCACAGAAATACCCAATATAAACCGCCCATCTGCCAAGGAATTGCGCAACCTGCGAGATAAGGCGAACGATGTTCGTCAAGCATTAACTAATTTGGGGAGACCGGTAGCAAGCTGGGATGACCTTTTCAATTTTCTAATAATCTCAAAATTAGACCGCGCTTCCTTGAATGATTGGGAACTTCAATTGGGGAGCAGCACCGCGCTGCCATCGTTCGCAGAATTGGACGAATTCATAACCTGCCGGATACGCGCGTTTGATGCGGTTGAATCGAGCAAACAGACGGCGCAGACTGACGAGTCGAAGATTAAAAAGCGAAGTTCAGATAAACGCACGTCTATAGTGTCACATCAGACTGACTCTAGTGCTATTAAGTGTGCATTCTGCAAAGCAAGCCACGCCTTAGCAACTTGTAACAAATTTAAGCAGAAACACGTCAATGAACGGCGTGCCTTTCTTTTCGAGAATCATTTATGTTTTCGCTGTCTAAAACCGGGGCATGGTACAGCAAAATGCCTCTCAAAGTCAGCCTGCGTCGCCTGTCACGGCAAACACCACACGTTGGTGCACTTTAAAAACGTCGACTCCAATGTCAGCAGCGGTCGAGCTGCTGAAACACAGCAGAAGGCAGCAGAGACTGATTTACCCTCCACTTCTCAGCAGGATGAGAAGGAGCAATCATCCACGTGCCATGTAGCTTATTCTCGCATTAATAAAGCACTGCTGCCTTCCGCGTGTGTCAAAATTACCGCGGACAATGGCAGAACTATTCTCGTGCGCGCACTGCTGGATCAGGGTTCGCAGGTCACGTGCGTGACCGAACGCATAGCAGACCACTTGAAATCCAAAAAATTACCTGTCGCGGTAAATCTCTCTGGAATAGGGGGGGGTCCGCGCGGGAAGGGTAAAACATGCGGTCGAACTAGAGATGTCCTCTTGTAACCTAAAAGATAGGGAGGAAGCCAAAATTAGATTCTCGGCTCTGGTATTGAAGAGCCTAACCTCTTACACTCCGAGTTCTTTCGAATTCGATTCAAAATGGAAGCACTTAGTCGACTTACCTCTCGCTGATCCAAAGCCCAGTGACTTTCAAGGGTTTGACTTACTCATCGGGGCTAACGAATACGGCAAAATTATGCTGGATGGGGTGGTAAAAGGTCCTCCCGGCACCCCGATCGCGCAGCGTACCGTGTTTGGCTGGGTCCTGTCGGGATCGTGTGGGCCAACACGCGGAGGCTTGCGATCGGGGCTGCAAGTCCATCACGTTGAGATACTCGACGATCTGCATAAAAATCTGAAAAAATTCTGGGAATTAGAGGAGACTCCAAAGGGGTTAGGATTAACTCGTGATCAATTAGACTGTGAAAACCATTTTAAAGAGACTCACCGCCGCCGTATCGACGGACGTTACGAGGTTAGGTTGCCGTTCGCAAAAAGCCCCAAGCTCACGGTCGGGACACTGCAAATATTGCGAGGAAAATCTTTCAGTCAAACGAAGTGCGAGTAAGGAAGAATCCCGAGGTGTATAGGGAATATCAGACCTTTTTGCAAGAGTATCTTGATTTAGGTCACATGAGTCGAATCAGGGAAACCGAATCTTTAAACGATAAAGTTTTTATTTCTCACTTACCTGTATTGCGTCAGGAAAGCCAGACCACGAAATTGCGCGTAGTCTTCAATGCTTCAATGAGCTCCTCTAACGGTAAATCTTTGAATGACTGCCTCCACGTAGGGCCCCAATTTGCAAGCAAATCTGTTTGCGATACTGATTAGGTGGCGTTGGCACCGCTTCGTATACACGGCGGACATTGCGAAAATGTTCCGCCAAATACGCGTAGCACCCGAAGACACTAAATATCAGTGTATCTTCTGGCGTCCTTCAGAAAACTCTCCGCTAGCAGCTTATCGTTTGGAAACCGTCACATACGGCACGGCGTGTGCACCCTTTCATGCCAATCGCGTCTTAAAACAACTCGCGAAAGACGAAGGCGAAAAGTATCCGTTGGGAGCAGCCATCTTGTTAGACGAATTCTACGTAGACGATGCTATGTTCGGTGCAGACGATCCGTCGCTATTGGTAGACATGCGCGATGAGCTGAACCGATTGCTCATGGCGGGCGGGTTTAAATTGAGGAAATGGGCAAGCAACTCTTCGTCACTCCTCAAAGATATCCCAGCAGAGGATCATGGGTTAGCGGTTAGCAGAACCTTGCAAGATGACGAAAGGGTTAAGGTGTTAGGAATTCAGTGGAACCCTTCCTCCGATGTCTTTCATTTCCATACGAATACTCCCGAACTTAAGAAATATACGAAGCGGGCATTCTTATCGCTATTGGCAAAAACGTACGACCCGTTAGGTTGGATAGCACCCTTTATTGTTCAAGGAAAAATAATCTTACAAAAGTTGTGGTTGGCAAAAGTTAGCTGGGACGACAATTTACCTCCAGATTTAGCACGCGATTGTGAGAAGTTTCACTCAATGCTCTCCTACACAAGAGATATTTCGATTCCTAGATGGGTAGGAGTAGGAGGGGAGATAAAAACGGTGCAGCTACACGGCTTCTGTGATGCCTCTCACTTAGCGTACGCTGCAGCGGTGTATATCCGAGTAGAGTCTTCGTCAACAAAGGTTACGCTGCTGTATGCAAAAACTAAGGTGGCCCCGTTGAAAGTGCAGAGCATTCCTCGGCTTGAACTCTGCGCGGCTGAGCTGTTGAGTCGGGCGATCAATTTTGTTCTTGGGGCGTTGCGAGTCAAACTCGATGCCATCGTCTGTTGGTCAGATTCAAAAGTTGTATTAGATTGGTTAAATGCACCTCCAGGAAACTGGAAGACCTTCGTAGCAAACCGAGTATCAGAAGTGCAAACGAGCTTACCTTCGGCTCTGTGGCGTCACGTTCCAGGGACGCAAAACCCCGCCGATTGTGCGTCGCGAGGATGCTCAGCCAGGGATCTCAGGACGCATGATCTCTGGTGGAGTGGACCGAACTGGCTGTCAGATCCCTCGGAGAGCTGGCCACAGCAAGGGTTCACTCCAAGGGACGAGCAGGTCGGCGAGGAATGTTCGGTACAGGTGGCTTCAAACGTAGATCACAAGGTGGAACCGTTGGAGATCTTATCTCGTTTCTCTTCCTGGCCTAAATTATTGAGAGTACTTGTATACGTGTACAAATTCTACAACGCGTGCAGAAAAAGTCCAAACACAGAGAAAGGCAAGGTCGTCTCGAAGACAGAAATACAGTTCGCAAAAACTAAATGCTTTCAACTGATACAAGCTAATCACTTTCCAACAGAATTGAGAGAACTTGCTAAACCAAAAGGAGTGCTAACTAAAAGTTCAATTTTGGCTCTTTCCCCGTATTTAGATAAAGATCACATAATTCGCGTGGGTGGGCGCTTAAAGTACTCACCTCTGCCTGAATCGGAGAAACATCCGATAATACTTCCGCGATGCCACGTCACTTCACTAATTTTGAAGCACGTGCACATCATGACGCAGCATGGAGGGCTGCAACTGACATTGCGAACCCTGCGCCAGCAGTATTGGGTCATTCACGCGCGAACCCAAGTAAAAGGGCTAATAGCGAAATGCGTAATTTGCGTTCGACAGCGCGCACAAACCTTACAGCAGCAAATGGGAGACTTGCCACGAGAACGCGTAACCCCAAGTCGCCCGTTTAGTATTGTGGGAGTCGATTATGCAGGCCCATTTGCATGCCGCGTCTCACAAGGCCGCGGGCAAAAAACACGAAAATGTTACCTTGCGCTGTTTGTTTGTTTGTGCGTTCGGGCTGTACACTTAGAATTAGTCAGCGACTATACCACAGCCACATTCTTAGCCGCGTTCGAGCGATTTACGTCACGAAGAGGCCTGCCCTCGAAGTCTTTTCCGACAACGGCACAAATTTTAAAGGCGCATGCAACGAAATTAGGTCGCGAATACGAAACCTTAGTTCGGATAACGAATTTTGTAACGATGTGGCCACGCGGGGAGTGGAGTGGAAGTTTATCCCGCCCGGTGCGCCACACTTCGGCGGTCTATGGGAAGCAGGGGTCAAGAGCGGTAAGCACCATTTAAAACGAATACTAGGCTCCTTTAACCCCACTTTCGAAGAGTTTTCGACACTACTTTGCAAAATAGAATGCTGCCTCAATTCGCGTCCATTATGTCCGCTTCGTGACGATCCGGAAAGTTTCGATGCACTAACCCCGGGTCACTTTCTCACAGGTTCTCACTTAATGTCCGTGCCTGACGCTTCGTTGTTAGACGTAGCTGACTCGCGACTTTCGAGATGCAGGCAATACAAAAAGTCCATGAACGATTTTGGAAGCTGTGGTCGCGGATTACTTGACAACACTGCAAACTAAAACGAAATGGCGAATCGCGAGCGAGTCGTTGCGTGTCGGCGATTTAGTTCTTCTGCGGAATAGCAATCTCCCTCCAACTCAGTGGAATTTGGGAAGGGTAACAGAGATTTTCACGGGCGGGGATAATCTCGTGCGAGTGATTCGGGTAAGAACGGCGACAACCGAGTACACTAGACCGATCACTCCAAGTATGCAGACTGCCTGTGAATGAAGAATGAATGAGACTGTTTATAAACACAGAGTGCGAATGAATGAGTATGCGCGGTTACATTGCCATAGAAGCGAAGCGACCAGGCGTCACGGTCGATCACGAGTGATCGAGGCGGGCGGAAATGTTTGTGAAAGAAAGCATCGCCAACAAATTATTAATAATTAAATTAAACATTTATTGTAATGAAAGGAAATACATTCTAACAATCGCAGAAAATAAAAGCCGTTCTAGAACAATCTCGCGCTAAACCGGACAAAAAGAAAAGAATCGCAAAAAACTGTCGAACGCGGAGACGAAAAAAGGGCCTGACCCCGGCCTCCGCGCCCCACTCTCCGGCCCGGCACGGAAGAGCGTCAGGCACTCACACATAGACAAGTCGCGAAACATATTACCAAATAAGGCAATAAAAAGGTCACGGAGCCCCCTAATTGGCGCTCGGGAGCTCCGTGAAACAAATCCGTGTGCCTGCCGGAATCTATAAAGGAGCCGGAACAACAAAGGCGATTAGAACAATTAAAGTAACAATCCTTGGCGAGCGAGCACAGTATCTTTCAACGTTTAAACGAGTTGCGCGAACAGTGACTTGTAATCACCAACCTCCGCGGTAAGCGGCTCTTGTAAAAAATAAACTATCTCCTAGTCAAAGTGAAGCGCATTTATTTTAAAACCCGATTCACTAGCGGCATAATAGTGCGGCGAAAGCCAGCTATAAATTCGCAAACATCTCAGATAGGAAGAATTGTACGGTACACAGTACACTCATTACATCGGTAATGGCGATAGTATAACCTATAAAGGTATTATTGATTCAAAACCGTATGGCGACAAAGTTATCGTAAAAAAAGACTGCATCAACCATGTACAAAAGCGAATGGGCACGAGATTACGACAGTTAAAAAAAACTCACAAAGGACTTGGCGGTAGAGGAAAGTTGACCGACAAAATGATTAGCGAATTGTGCAACTACTATGGAAAAGCTATTCGTGAAAATAATGAGTCTGTAGAAAAAATGCTCAATGCCATATGGGCCACCATCTACCACAAAAGGTCGTTAGACGAAAATCCAACCATGAGTTGTGTCCAAAAGGTGCGAGTTCATGGTGCACTTGGCAGCGCGCAAAAGCCACTGGCAATCTGCAATCATTCCTATTTTTGCAGATTTGAGCAAATCGGAATTATTGGAACGTTGCATAGGTGGATTTACGCAAAACTGCAATGAGAGCTTTAATGCTCTCATTTGGAAATTTGCACCGAAAACTTTATCAAGTCGGGGCTATTATTGTGCAAATTGCTACTTATTTGGCTGTTTCCATTTTTAATAATGGAATGTCATCTCTGTTACAAGTAGTAAAGAGTCTTTCAAATTGAGCGCAAAAAATTGACAGTCTTTGGTGGCCATGTTTATTATGTTTTTTCATTCCTCAAACGTCATTTGTTTTCTGTTTGTCATGACAAATTATCATGGAGCGCTACACGCCCTCAACAAAATATGGAATCGGTTACAGCAACGTATCGTGCACTTCGCGGTATTTACGGTGTGCATAATCGGCCAAACAAAAGCACAATTCATCGTTTGGTTAAAAAATTCGAAGAGAATTTTTCTGTACTTGATGTTGCAACACCGATTCGCCAAAGAAATGCAAGAAGTCAAGAGAATATTGCTGCTGTAAGTGCAAGTGTTCGTGAAAATAAAAATTTATCCATTTCGCGTCGTTCACAAGAGTTGAGTCTCTCTTTAACAACAACATGGCGCATTTTGCGTAAAGATCTTGGTTTACACCCATATAAGATTCAACTAACTCAGGAACTGAAGCCACAGAACCATGCTTTGCGTCGACGGTTTGCTGATTGGATTCTAGGGCAGCTCGATGTGGATCCAAATTTTCATCGAAAAATCATCTTTTCAAATGAGGCTCATTTTTGGCTTGATGGCTTTGTAAACAAGCAAAACTGCCGTATTTGGGATGATTCTAATCCGCAGGTGATTCAACAGCGACCATTATATCCGAAAAAAATCACTGTTTGGTGTGGATTATGGGCTGCAGGCATCATTGGACCATTTTTTTTCGAAAATGAACGAGGAGATGCTGTTACAGTGAATGGTGAACGCTATCGAGCTATGGTTCGTGATTTTTTGTTTGACAATTTAGATGATTTTGACTTGAATGAGATGTGGTTTCAACAGGATGATGCCACGTGTCACACAGCTGCCTAAAATAATTCAGTTATTGCGTCAAAAGTTTGGTGATTCGATAATTTCACAGAATGGTCATGTGAATTGGCCACCAAGATCGTGTGATCTGACTCCGTTAGACTTTTTTTCTATGGGGTTATGTCAAGTCACAAGTCTATAGCAACCAAACCACGATCGATTGATGAGTTGAAAGCAAACATTCGACGCGTTATCGGCGATATTAAGGCTGATATGTGCGAAAGAGTCATGCAAAATTTTGTTGACAGAGTTGGCTATGTCAAGCAAAGCCGTGGAAGCCATATGAATGATACTGTTTTCAGGACATAATGTAATGAAATAAACTTCAAAATAAAAAAAATTTTTGGTTGATATCACACATATCTGTCATCTTCTCAGATGAGAAAAAGTTTAATTTGGACGGCCGAGATGGCTGTAAATATTATTGGCACGATCTGAAGAATGAGAAAAGCGTGGCGATGAGTCGTAATTTCAGCGGTGGTTCCTTAATAATATGGGCAGCGTTCAAAGCAGATAGAAGAACTCCAATTTGCCACATAAATCATAAAATAAATTCGGAAAGCTATACAGAATTATTAGAAATGATTTTAATACAATTTACAGAAGATATTGATGACGACAATTGTATTTATCAGCATGATAATGCTGTAGTTCATGCGTCTAAATACGCAAAGGAGTGATTTCTTCAAAATAATATCAGTATTTTACCGTGGCCTGCATGTTCCCCTGATGTAAACCCTATTGAAAATCTTTGGGATATCATAGCGCGAAAAGTTTATAAGAATTGCAAACAATACAACTCCATTATTGAACTAAAGGATGCGGTGAATGAAGCGTGGGCGTCTGTTGAAACAGAAACGCTTCAAAAGTTAGGTTTCATCAATGACGAACCGTATTTTTAATGTGGGATCGGGATCGTCTGTCAGACTCGTGGGGCTGACAACAGACGATCCCTGCTCCAAACAGCTATCGTACCGCTCTTCGGAAATTATGTTATATTCGAACGCCATGCGCTTGCGAGAGCGCCGTTCAATCTCACCGCCATCTAGCGCTCCCCGGCCCGAACTCAAGGCGTCCGGGCAGACGAAACTCTCTCACCTCTACTAAACGCCTACAAATGTAATTTAAAAAAATGGAGGATATATTAAATACTAACATATAGATATAGTGAAAACAATTGTTAATTTCAATTTTATTCATCTGAAAAGCAGCCGACATTATAGAAATTTCGCAGTGTATTTTCGGTTAAAGAATATTTTTGTTTTTTTCTTAAATGAACGTTATATTTATTTCGTGAAACCGATGTGTACTCTTTCGTTAGTTAATTCCGAAGTGTTACCAACCACAAATTTTTCATTGGTATGATATAATTATAAGAATTTATCATAAAACATAGTGACTTTATAGAAATTTCGGCCAGTGTACATATATCTTGTTTGTTTCTTACTAAAGTTGTTGACTCAATGTCCAAAGTTATCAGTGAACTTTACATTTCTTATATTTCATGAACAGTATACGACTAATCATTGTAATCATTGTACAGTTATATGTGTACAAACATTGCACTGTAAATCACTCTGCAAATTTTGTGGATCCAGATACAGGGGTACATACACAAAATATTGAAAGACTGTGCAGAGAAATTCGAGGAAACATTTATGTGTACGGTCGCAAAGAATATCATTTTAATCATTACCTAGCAGAGTTCATATTTAAAAAAATTTTCGATTTTTCTGAAAGATTAGATGTGTTACGTCCGGATTATTTTCAATAATCCGGCCGTAGTTAACATTTATTTTCATTTTCTTTTTGATAGTGTTGAATAGTTTAATCGTATAATATACTGAATTTGTGTACCTCGTCGGTGCGCAGCACTTGGAGATAATCCCAGGCGAGGCACACAAAGGAGGCTATAATTAGTCCTTTTCAAATAATAAGAAGTTAACCTTCCTTGGGACGATTGCCTTGTCGAAACCGCGTAGCAATAAACACATAGAAATTCGAAATCGCTAAGGTTAAGGAGAGGTACTATCAACATCTTTCGCCACGCGGTTAAGCAGTGCGATGCTCTTGGAAGTTTCCCAGCTTAACCGCGCGGAATAAGGGAAATACGATTTTTGTTTTACTTCGCAACGAAGTACCTATCCTACCTCCAAAGCATGCGTCAGCCGGTCCTTCCACGAGGAGTGCATGTAATTTGGAACAGAACAATTGGAATTTAACGGAATGAAACTGTTTGAATGATATTGGAATGCGAGGGTTTGCGTGACAACCACTGTAGTTCGAAATCGTTCACGAATGTTCGAGACAAAGGTCGACCGAGTCTATAAACATCGCCGTTAAACGTTAAACGTAGAACGTTCGAATATACGTAAATCGTCGAGATACGAATAAGAATGTTAATAACTAATAAGCGCGGAATGAATGTTAATTAAATGCGACACGCATGTATCCGCAATTTGTCGACGATTATAAAACACCGGCTGCATCTCGCGTAAACCGGTAAACAACAAAATTAACAGTACAATTAACGTATGAATAATAATTAACGATATTCAACTAATGGTCATTCAAACTAGTAAACCAAATATTTTTAATAAAATGAAGACCTCTTTCGATACCGGAAATATAATGATAAAAGCCTCTTTAATTAGCAAATTCAAATAAATTAAGTCGTAACAGATTTCGAATATTCCAGAACTTTAGAATTGCGACGCATGAAATCCGTTGTAGCGTTAGAGGGGTAGAAAGAAATGGATAACCTTAGACGAAGGTAGAAGGAAAAGCCAGGAAGGGATGAGGGAACTAGAAGAGCGGCCAACTAGCCCAATACGCGCGGGATTTCCCCTCCGTCACGTACCCCGATTTGCCAAATGATGGCCCCACTTTGGGCCCTTGATCGCGGGTCGAACCCTGAGGCACGATCGCTTGACTGAGGCAAATCACTCTTCGTCAATAAGTCGCAAGGTGCGTGACGGGGAGCCCGTGTTCGCGTAGAGATAGAGTTGTTAATCAAAACCGCGTAATCAGATTGCTCGGCAAGTCCTCTTCAAGGCAGAGTGTCGAGAGAGTTTCGATTCGGGGTTTTGTGACAAGGACTCAAACGGATACGTTAAATTCTTTTCATACTCTTCAAATTCTATCTTTTCTCTTTCATTTTATATCGTCTCGTGTATTAATTATTTTTCTTTCTTTTTCCGCGCCGCGTTGATTTAAAAATACTTTGTGTTCGTTTGTAATAGTTTGAATTCGTCTCGTAACACCGTAATAAAGGCCGATCGCGAACGCGTAGTGCAGTGGCAGTTTCCTCATCTTTTCTTTGATTTCCAGATTTCTCAATGATACCAGTGAATAAGCAAACAATCAAACGTATTATCAGATATTATTTCACATCAATTCCTGGTAAGTTGTCCATTTCATTTTATCCAATACGACGAATCTGGACGTGGTGAGGCAAAACGGGCGATCTACGAAACCGCGTATTCTGGAAAGTTTCCCTCTAGATCGTTCCGTTCACAATAGAGACATAAGGTATCGAATATTTAAAATATTTAGAAAATTCCGATTTCACACAAAAGAAGGCGGCCCCACGAAACCGTGATTCTGGTAGTTTACCCTCTGGGACCGTTCTTTCCTTTTGTTCGCGTTTAATTCTTCATACGACATCGTCGCTCGAATCGTCGAATCGTTTAATCAAACATTAATTATTCCATAATCAATAGTCTCACTTTCATATAATCTAAACCTTTCTTAACAATGCATTCATTTTCCCTTGTATCATCTTCGTACAAATTCACACGAGGGGCCCGTATGGGACTAGGCTTGACGAATCCGATTAATATCTTAATTAACTATTAATCAATCTATCAACTCTTTTATTGTTCTAATCGCGAAGGATCTAACATCGTCTCGAGCGATTAGGACTGGTGGCAGCGCTAATACCGTTCTCAACCGCGTATCAGCCAACATAATAAAACATAGTAAAATTCTCGTTTTTTCGTTTTTTTTTTTTTATTTTGTACGTCGCGCGCCGTCTCTCTTTCGCTCACGACGTAACAGATGCGTTTTTCAAAATAATGGCAATTACATATGTATCCCTTGAATGAAAGTCTAAATGAATAAATGACTTATTTTGGGTAACCCCGCCTCTGCGGAAGAAACAAACGACCAACTCCTACAGCCGGATCAACAGCGATTCCCTTAGAAGAATCCGCAACCGTTGTTACACATCTATTACCTCCTCCGAGAATAATAGTGAATTAATAGTTATGGCGGTCCTTAAATTATATACTTTCTCCAATTTATCTTACAGCCTTATGGAATACCAAACCACGAGAATGTTCCGACGTGGCCCTTGCCATAACTGGTCGGTTGGTGTCCTATAGCTTATACCACTGTGTTTGATACTGTACGTTAGTAATGGCGACACATCAAATATATCAAGGGCGCAAGGAGAACAAGGTGGGTCGCCGGGTTTTCGTGAGAAGACTGCCACCGTATACGAAGAAAAACAAACTTCTGGAGATCTTCCTACCGTATGGAGCGGAACATGCAGTGGTACTGCGAAGATCAACAGGGTACCACGCTTTCATCACGTTCCGGACTGAGGAGGGTGCGGGCCAGGCATTAGAAGCAGGAAGCCTTGGCATTGTATGTCAAGGAAGAAGACTCAAGGTTTCTCCAGCGGATCCTTGGCATGAAGCAAAACTTATATCACCACTGCCTGTCATGCATCCCCTTCCGGAGGTCAATCTAGCACAGGGGAACCTGTTACTATTAGAAATGATGGCGAAAATATCTCAATTAAAGAAGATTAATCACAATCAACCCAAAATTAAATCCGTATCAGAATGAGATAGGTCAGTAACTCTCAGTGACCAACCTCTATTCCCCATCATTACAGCAGCTGGACGCTGTCATCTCAGGGTCAGTGGAGAGGGCAGTATCCGCTCGTGTGGAGCGGATTCAGCGGGAAACCATGCGCCACGCCGCCGCGGTGGTAC